CAAGATGCCAATTGACAGAGTCATGAGTGAGAATATATTACTCATGCCCACTCGCATTCCCTGGGGACAAAAAGAAAAAAGGCAGTATATTCCACTCTAGTTGAATTCAGCTCAGGTGCAATAGCTATTGAAAAATAGTCTCAGATAAAAAGTCAATGAAAATGACAGTCCAACTTTCACTCCTTACCTTAGCAGTGCAATTTTCTACATTCTACATTTTTAAAAAAGAAAGTGCTTATTGTGAAAACAGGACACACACACACACACACACACACACACACACACACACACACACACACGGGCATTCTCCAGTCCCTTCAGTTCTTGCGATAGGCCAGGCATAGTGACAACTCCACTTTGCAGGCCTGGGCTCCTGAGAAAGGAAGGTATTTCCAAGCTTCTTTATAGTTCTATGGACATTTAAGTAGCCCATAAGACTGGACTTGATCATTTCCATTAAATATGTCACTTATAAATAGATCTATTAATAGATCATTTATAATAAATTGATAATGAGAGCATTACAGAGATATCAAAGAAGTATGTCCAGGTATGTGATGAACAATAGCATAAGAAAAATGTAAATAAGAATCATCTTTCTCTTAAGGTGATACCTATGATTACAGAATCCTAGACCTTTCAAGATGATGGGACTTCAGAAATCTTTAATCCAAATGCTTTATTTTAAAGGGGAAAAAAAAGGTCCAGAGAAGTTGTGACTTACCCAAATCACAGAACAAATTAGTGGCAGAAGTAGAACAAAAACCTGATTTCCACTTTACCATTTCCTTGACAAACTGCAGAAAACTTATAAGCCATTGATTTATTCCACATAATAAAGCTGCTCTATTTCTTTCTTGGGTTCTATTATATTAGGTTTAAGTTTCTCTGCTGTCTACACTCTTGTTCAAGGAGTTACTGACTTAACTACAGAGAGAATTCCAGAACTTGAGAATGAGAATAAAGTAAGCAATTATAATCCATCCATTCTCATCAAGAAATGAAGGCTTAGTGAAGTTCTAGAATGTGACACTATAAAGAAATGAGGGAGTGTCACAGAGTCTGGTTCCCTGTCTCCTTTTCCTGGCTCAGTGGACTTTGCTGCAATCTAGGTCATCTCATGAAAGCACTTAAAATAAAACAAAAAGTTTAATAGTATGATAAATTCTTTCTAAAAGCAAGTAATGACATTCATATATCTACTTAGATTTGGATTTTCCAGATTTTGTGTTTCTGTGTGTGTATGTGTAGACTTTAAAGATGGTGCATCTGTACCCAATAAATCATAGCCTACTTAGATATCTACTAGATTCATATATCTACTTAGATTTGCATTTTCCAAATTTTGTGTTTCATACATCTACTGAGATTTGGATTTTCCAAATTTTGTTTCTGTGTGTGTATGTGTAGACTTTAAAGATGGTGCATCTGTACCCAATAAATCATAGCCATCAAATAATGATACATAAATCCAAGTTTCCCACTTCACACCCATTAGAATGGCTACTGATGATATCACACACACACACAAAAAAAACAGAAGTGTAGTATAGACATACCATGAAATATTATCCAGCCTTAAAAAGGAAGGAAATCCTGTCATATATTAGAGCATGAATGAACCTCAAGGACATTGTGCAAAGTGAAATAAGCCAGTCACATAAAAACTGAATGATTCTAATTATTTGAGGTACTCAGAGTAGTCAAATTCATAGAGACAGAAAGTAGACTGGTGGTTGCCAGAGGCTGAGAGAAGGGAAGGAATGAAGAAATGTCATTTAATGGGTACAGAGTTTCAGTTTTGCAAGATGAAAGGAATTCTGGAGATGGGTGGTAGTGTGGTAGCACATTATGAATTATGAGTGTATTTAATACCACTGAGCTGTACACTTAAAAATGGCTAAGATGGTAAATCTAATATTATATGTATTTTACCACAATAAAAAAAACTGGGGGAAAAATCCAATTCTCCTTTCTCTTGGCCTAACATGGTATTGCTCCACCCCCAGCATCCTCTCTGGTCTCTACTCCCAAGTGCCTGCCACTGAGGGAAATAAGGACCATTATTATTTTCATTCTCTCTCTCTACAACAATTTCCCTATTGATTCAAGCAAGAATGTGGGGTAGGGATTATGGGCAGTATGACTTACAATAAACTTTCACTCTGTAAAACAACACACTCTTTTAAATATCTCTTCTCTTTTTAACTGGACTTGAAACTCCAGAACTAAAAAATAGGCTAGGGAAATGATGCATGTATGCTTTGGAATATACCCTAAGATGAGCAAGTTTAGATTCATCTGGGGTTTGGGTAATTAATTCTGATCCTGTGCATCATCAAAGATTCCTTTATTTCTCCTTGTTTTTCCTCCCCATGAGTGTGTCTGCTGTTGAATCATGTCCATGACATTCAATGATTATCTCACTATAATGAGGTCAGTGGGGAGCAACTTACTTTGCACTGTCCCCAACAGCCATGAGAAATTATGATGCCTCAAATTATATTAACATAATGCTAACTCTTCCTTGAAAGATCTAAAGGAGAGTAATGCAAACACTTTCACTGATGTGGCTATCGTTTCAAGATACTAGTATGCAAAATACAAAAATAATGTTGTTATTAATTTTATGTGCACTCGATAAACTTTAATTGAATGATTAAAAGCTGTTAGTAAAATAACTTGGCATCCTGTGCTATTGTGTACTAACTGATCAAGGAGCATAAAACACTACAAAAATAGAACCTCACAGGAAATCCCATAACGAGTGACCAATTCTAATTCTGTAATATGGTTCATTGATGCATCCTGACTAGAAAAGGCTAAAAAGTCCTTGGTATATTATATAATATATCCCAAACTCAATCATAGGTTCAGTACTTTAGCACACATTATAAAAATTAAAAAATGGTCTAGTGTATTACAGAGTATGGGCTCTAGACCTGTATTCAAATACCAGTTCCTACTGTGTGACCTTGAACAAGTTACTGGAACTCTATGTGCCTCTGTTTTCTCATCTTTAAAATGGGCATAAAAATAGAACTTAACTGTAAGGATTTTTTTTTGAGGAAAAATAAATTAAAATTTACACAGAGCTCTCAGAGCATTGCCTGATGCATTATAAATGCTCAATCCACATTCTGTACTACAGTAAATCCAATAAAATCATCTTGCATCTGCTTTCTCATTGTCTTACTACACAGTTATATGATATTAATAAATAATGATTTCTGAATCATTGGACTACTAGAATTCTTTCTTGCTTCCCTATGATCTTAATGATCACTTTTAAGTTTTAGACATTCGCTGGCTTCAAACATTCCATTACTAGTATAAAAAGGTTGGAAATGCTCAAATTTTCTAATTAAATAAAATGAAACATAGACCTGGAGTGTTCATACGTCTGTATGAGCAGGAGCTTTCAATGAATGACAAGTGTGTTCATAGATTCAAATTTTTAGTGAAAAAATAACCCTCATTCCAACAGGAACATACATAATTTTTAATAAAATAAATTATTGTTAAATACATCTAAGGAAGTTTGCAAAGTAATTTCAACTAGTTCTATGCCATATTTCTAATGTGACATACACTTTATAAGCATGCTGAGAAACATTTGCAGATTGTAGATGATAAACCATCATCAAAGAGTTATTAAGCCCTTATGTCCGTAAGAATGATAGCATCTGGTAAAGCAATATTGTCAGAAATTTCTAAAACTAAAATGGAGCTGGTTTTTATCCTAAGCCTAATGTATTTTTAAATCAAGCCACAGGGAAATGATTACTTTTGTTTCTATTCAATCAAGACCCGCACACAGAGTTTATGGAATGACATAATATCCTTCCTGAAATCAGACCGGCATGTAGGACCAGTATCCTTTACACATAACTAGTTCCTGAACCTTTACAAACAAATCCTAATTTCCAAGGAAACAATCTCATCAAATGCTGCTCACTAGAATACATATTGTTCTTTTTGGAAACATTACGATAAGATTTTCACGATTACAAATCCCAACTTCCCCTCTAAAATTCAATATACCCTTAAGCTCATTTATTTAAGTGGAAACTGTATTTTTATAATGGCTCTAGAAATTCCTTGTAAACTCATATCACACCAGTGATAATAATTTAGCCATTTTTTTCAGTTCAGGAAAGGGGTGGTCATTAACTGATTACAGATATGTGCACATTAGGAGCTTCTTAGGAATGTACACCTTTCTACTTTCCATGGATCTATCCTATAAGGAGATATTTTAAACTTTTTTTGGAGAAGGTAAGTTTTAATAATTTCTAGCCTTCCATGCTTGTATTTTTTGGGGACTGACAATAAAAAGAACATCTAGAAGCTTATAATCAATATTCTCTCCTCTTTGGCTTAGGAAGCTAGTGTTTTCTGTGTAGGTCACAGGATTTGTATTGAGATGAACAAACACATTTATTCTTTAGTAGAAAAGTAATATCAACAAATCAGTGGCAACTACTGACATCAACATACAAACAGGAAGAGAATGTGATTCTAGCTGTCAGCCGATGGCCTTAAGAATAGAATTCTTTCCTCTCTTTACAAAGGATGTTCTAAATACTATGGGCAGGGTAGGGTGGACACTAGTTCCCTGCACCCTCCCTAATTAAACAAGTGTCCATGTTCTAAATATGACAGAGTACGAGGAACCTACCGAAAAGCTCCTAAAACACACACTGAGTAAGCCTTTCTCATGCGTTCTGTAGGCACACGTAAGTTTTGTCATTTATGAATCACTGTCCCACCGTGAAGTTTACTGTGCACTTTATGTTGAGTTATGTGGCAGCTAAGGGCTGTCACTGTTTGCTTAAAAACGGCAACCTAAAGTTATTTTTTCAAAGTTATGTGTCATGTGGCATAGAAATCCATACACTGTAAAGTGAAAACAATCATTTTTCAAACACTGGGTTAGCATGAAATAGAGCCAACAGAAATCAGAATGAGCAAACAGCCTTCCACTGCCGGCAACTCACCTTGTTGAATTTTAGTCACTAGCTGGTGGCGTGCTAGGATCCGGCTCATCCTGTAAGGAGAGCGTCTTGCAGTCTGATCAAATCGCAAGTACATCTCCTGGCCCTCAGGTGTCATGGAATTTAGATAGTAGCAGCCTGAAGCTGGGGTCCTGGGCACCTGCCTGAACATCTCGGCAGATTTCCTTACTGCCACCTCAGTCTGCCTGTGGCTGTTTCCGTCTGTCCCCAGCCTCAGTCAAAGAGCAAGGCACCAAGCCCAGGAGAGACCAGGCGATTTTTAAAAAGAAAAAGGAGTGCCAAAGCCACAACTCCGAGAATCCCAACCCCCGGGGCCCTCACATGACCTCAGGGAGCCAATCAGGGGAAGAGGGAGAAATGGGACTGTTCACAGTGAGCTCCAAGCCCAAGGAAAGGCAGCGCCAGCAGCCCTGATCCCCCGCCCCACACACACACACACAATGCTGAAAGCAAATGCAAGCATTTGACGTGCCTCAGAGCCGGTGAGGCACCCAAAGCAGCACTCACTAAAAGAGTTAAAAAGAGAGAGGGAAGAGAAAAGTCTGGAGAAGCAAAACAAGCCCCAGGGCATAGGAAACCTTTCAGGCTGTAAAAGTTAGAGAAAGTTCCTTCACTTTCTTTTTGCAGCCAGGTAAGAAATGGACAGTGATAAATATCTTAAATAAAAAGACTACTTGGAACAAGCAGTCACAGCTGAGTATAAACTACCACCCTTCAGTAAAAAGCAATGAATCCAATAAAAGCTTTTCCAGTGAAAAATAAACATCAAGTGTTTTAACACCAGGAGTAAATAAATACAGCTCAGACGCCTGACCCTCATGTGATGGGAGGTGAGGGCTCTTACAGATAAGACTCGGAGAGGCAAAGGACACGAGTGTTATTTATTAAGCGTCCACGCCTCTTTAATTTTTCTACTCCCCCAATTTTTAAATCACCAAGAAGCAAAATTCTTCCCAAGTAACATATCATATTTAAGACACTGCCAAGAGTCATTGCAAAAGCTGCAAAGATCCTTGCAAATATACCGTCATCCACCTGCTAAGCATCAATAGAGAAGTCCGACAAAAGCTTGTTACATAGGACCATATATGAAAGGTCCTTTAAAAAGGTATAAACACCATGCTAGGTGAGCAATATTATTTTTGACTGAGGTGATGATTGCAGGCCAGATAAAGAAAGAGACATTTGTATAGGCTTTTAAAAAAACGGGGTTGGGGGAATTCTGAGAGGCAGAGGCTTGGGGGTCTTTGCAGGAGAGTCTGTGCCCCCGTGTGCAGATGGGGAACTAGAGTGTGTGTTTAAGGAAACTGCTAGTAACTCAATTTGGTCATATCTGAATATACATATGGGACTCATTAAGATTTTTTTTCCAGAGTTTTCCCCTTTAATATTGTTTGATGTGAAGTGAAAAAAAAGTCCATAGAAAACATGTTACCGAATTCTGAGGCTGGGGCTGAATGAATAAAGTTCTTTGATAAAAAAGCATATGGCCAAGTTTGGCTGACTCAAACTGAAACATTGCCTGGCTGGAGATTTATAGTCCTAATAATAAGAAATTATTTCTAAATTAGTTCCAAATTAAAAGTCTAACAGGACTTAAATTAGGACCCCAATTCTTGTTACTACAGCTCTGTACTGGTGTTCAGCTTAATACCTTTCTCTACGTGAATTTTTGCTGGCCTAATTCTGAGAAGCAGCTCAACTTGTGTAACTGTCTCACTATGTAAATAAACAAGTTTAAGATCTCTAGGGCCCAGTGCTAGAACACACTCTCTCATGGCAATCGTCAGCCTCGTCCGATGACTACGCAAGAGTCAGCAAGTGTTAGTTTTCAAGTTGGCATCATAGCAGAAAAGGAAAGAAAGTTCTTGCTGGACCATATTGTGCACTTTCCATTCTTATTTAGGATTTGGGCAGAAGTTTTTCTGTTCCATGGGATCCTCTGTGGAAGGTGAAAGACATCTAAGATCTAGTGACTTGGCAGACGCACAGACATGAAGAGAGAAAGGTTTAGCACTATGTGGCAATGCTAGATGCCTGAAAGGTCTGTTAGAGTCAGCACTGGTTGCCATCTGACCAAGGTGCTGGTGTCAGCCACTTTGTGCACATGCTTTTGGCTTGATAGTCCAACACTGGGGGCATCCCTGTCATAAACCTTTTGTTCAAGTCAGATACTAGGCAGTTGCCACTTTTTGTGCTAGGAAGGAATAGGAGAAGGATGGAGGGAGAAAGAAGAGAGAAATATGGAATTTGGGAACATTGTACGTGTTCTGGGAAACCAAGTAAAGATGAAGAAAGGCAGGAAATAATATGTAGCTGTTTCACAGCTCTGAATTGCACTTAAAGAAAGACTGGCCATTCCCAATGCCAACCTTGCAGCTCTTTGCTAACCTGGCTACATTTTAGAAAGAAATGGAATGATTCTTCCTGAAAATCACTGCAGTTTATCATGGACAGGTTACTAGGGGGAAAAAACTAACATTGCCTCCTTTTTTGCATAATAATAAATGTATTGAAAGTCCTAGGGTGGTCTTGTTCTGAAATTATCATGATTAGATATATGTATTCTTTGACATGTAAGCAAATGCAACAACATGAGACATAATATTTCATAGGAGACTGGCAAGGAAAAACAAGAATTGAACTTAAGGAAAAAAAGGAATTTATATTCCCTGATTAAAAGAAAGACAACTTAAAATAAAGCCTAATTTAGTCTACGGCCATACCACCCTGAATGCACCCAATCTTGTCTAATTAAAAAAAAAAAAATCAGTCAGTGTTTTGATGAGGGGATCTTGGAAGGATAATGTATCAAGATCTTAGTCCTCCTTATGCATATACAAGGCCCTACAGTTTTATTTTATGGTTCAAATAGTATCTATAAATTTGTGTACCTGCTCACCATAGTTTTGGCATTTTGCATTTCCAGAGTACTATGTTTAAAGCAGATACGTAATATTATTTTTTCATTAGCATGTCATTAGTACCTTGTTTTATGCTAATGTATTGCCATCCCTATGAAACCCATACTCTTTCAATGAATTCTTTTTTGATCATTTAGTCCCAGTGCTAGAAGAATTACCACTCTGTTGGGCAGTTATGCTCTACTAGAAGCAAGAAACTGCTGGTTATCTCTCTGGGCTTGTCCCGTCTGCATGCCCTTGAGAGCTGGTCCCCTTCACTGGTGAGAGAGTGAGGTCCTGAGGAATCAGAGAGAAGGAGAAAGTGCCAGAAACACACGTGCATCTTCCAAGGCTGATAATGTATTTCTTTCTTTCTAATTTTTTTAAAAATAAGGAAAATGGATAGCATTCGTTTTTACTTTTTACCCCCTTTTCCTCTCTCCTGATCTGATCATCAAGAGCAGTCTTCGCTCAGATTGTCTCAGAGATGAAATAAACAGATGACTATTTTTGAACCAAAGAGACCAAAAAAGAAAAGAAAAATAAAGGGGGAAAGGAGCACCTACTGTGTGCCAGGCCTCATGCTATTTACATTTCATGTTTTTAATTGATCTCCACAGCAACGTTTTGAGGCATCTGATTTCATGTAAAAGAAGCTAAGACTCGTGGAGATGAAGCAATGGCCCAGGTCATATAGCAAGTGTACGGCCACAGTGTATCTCCAAGCTGATGATATTCTAGTTCTTTCCACTATCACATATCAGGGGCAGGAAAAACTGCAGCACTGAAAAGGCAAAGGGGAGAGCATTTTGGAAGAATAGATTGAAAATCATTTAATTCTATTTAATTATATATGACACTGGAATATCTAAATGAAAATAGAGGTATAAGATGGCTAAAATCTCATGGTGATTTGATCTGGTATCTTACGGTAAGAAGGACCGAGCCCAGAGCCATTAGTTAATCAAGGAGAGCCATGGGACCTCTTAGGAATAATCCATAGTTGAGGACTGGAGATGCCCTCCCCAGTCCTAAAATGAAGAAGCAGCTCACCTTGACCTCCCCTTGACAACTATTCTTTTGTGGGGTAGCTTGCTGGTCTTGTGCTTTCTGCTCTTCTTCAAAGCTAACTCAGCATGAGCCTTGCCTTTTCCATGGCATTCATTCTCAATCCAAACACTCCAAATACAGTCAAAACTCAGAAATTTGACCTCTAAACAAAATTGTTGGTATTTAAGATTTTCAAGTCTTTTGATAGATGATCCCAGAGCAGCACTCACTGGAATTTTGTGTACTCAAGGCAGAAAGCTAAGGAGTGCTTTTACAGAAGTCAGGAGTGGGTCGCTGTGCGTACATCCGTCTGCTGCTGCTTCTACTCCTTCACACACATTCCAGCCTTCTCGTCAGTCTGTTCAGAGGCAGCCGCGGTAGTTCTGCCAAGTTGGAAAATGTTTGAGATACAAGTGGCAGGTGGAAAAATGCAGAACTGACTTGGAGGGCTGCTTTCGAAATTACGTGAACCCAAAGGTTGTGGGTTGATGTCAAAGCCTTCCTGTGGGCTCTGAAGCTCGGTTTTTGAGGATTTTCACCAACTGATTTGTGATGTGTGTGCCCAAGTCTGTGCCAATAAGTCCTCCCAATCTGCACACACCACATGCCCATTGCCCAATGTGAGGAAGCCAGTGATATTAAACACAGACTGGATCTTCTTCTCAGCAGCTTCCCCAGCCCATAGCTCCAATTTGGAGTCCAGATCCTGCCATGAAGACTTGTGGGTGGTTGTAGATTTCTTGTATTTTGTCTCTCAGCCCTCCCTACTGTCTTTGGTGATTTTCTCGTCTATGGGCCTCTGGAGGCATGTGTTCTGCCCTGGGGACCCAACCATCAGCTCCAACCCATATGGCCAGCAGCCTGGTCTGTCCTGTCCTAGGAGTATTACCTACACCCACCCACTCCAGCCAAACCAGAATTCTTTCACTTTCTCAGTTGTTTTGCAGATCTAGAATTGTGTGATTCTCCATTCTTCCATCCATGCGGCTCTGTTAAAACCTATTGCATTCCAAAACATTTTCATGACTAATACAAAACCCTTTAGTATTACCTATCATGTTAATACCTGTAAACAGTCATTACGTGGCCCATTAACTTATTGCATGCTCATATGGAATCCACTTGTTCCTTGCAACTACTATGGACAAAAGGTTTCTACATCTTGGAATGAGAAGGACTGTTACACACTTTCTAATCCATCTACTCAACTATTGCAGTTCCCCCATGAGATCAATTAAATAAATCTCTTCCTACATATACAGAGTATATTACATCACAGAGGACCCCAAGCTGTGGGAGAAAGTTTTTCCTTTTAATTTCCATTCACTGCCTCTGATTCTGCCATTTGGAATTAGACAAGACAAATATTTTCCTTCTTCTATAGGACTGTCTTTCAGATGTCTGTAGAAAGCCAACATACCCCTTACAAGAATCTTCTTTTGTAACATTTCTTTTCATTAACCACACAACTTCTAACTATTGATCAAACTATTCTCTTGCAGATATTTTGCAGTCTGAAGTAACCCTTTAAAAATAGGCAGGCACTTACTCTATGCTTAGTGCTCTAGATGTGGCCAGGCACGGTAGAATGTGTACAATGTGGGCATACTTCCTGCATTCAGGGCATTGCACTTTTGCCAATCCAGTCTGAGACTATGGGAGGTTTTATTTTTTATAATCTATATTCACTCATTCATAAATTTAACATTGACTGAATGCCTGTACAGCACTGCAGCGCAAAAGTATAAAAGGTACAAAGGTGAGTACAATGTGGTCCCCGCCCTCAAGGAACTGTCTGCTAAGGAATACGGAAAAGAAAGTCCCCATTACACCACATGTTAAGTGAAGTGTGGGAAGCTATCTCTATTGCCTCATGCTGTTTTATAGAGGATCTAAGTGCTTAAGCTGCCTGGTGTTTACGTATTTTCATAAAATATGCTGTTAGGTGAGTGTTCTGTCTTCTGTACTTACCAAATGACCTTTTGCCCTTATGCATAGGTCTTTAAACTTATTGGAATTGTTGAGATATTTCCAATTCCTGACTTCCTTCTCCAACTATTTATTTCTGCCCTGTTATTTCTGCTAACAACAACAACAACAACAACAAACCCCTATATTATAAAAGTAAAAAAATAAACAACCAAGTGACTTTGAAAAAGTTAAAGTAAGAGGAGGAAAATAATAAAGCCACGGGTGAAATCAGTTCACAGAAATACAAGCCACACAACTCTCTACATTTGCTGCAGGTGGGGGAGACAAAGGAAGCAAGATCCATGACAAAATTCAACCTGTCCATAAATGGAAAACAAAATAGCGATTCAAGATGAACACAAATCGCCAGGTATTGCAAGCCCAGGGAAAGTTTTCCTGGGTCCTTATAAAGAATCAGCATCCTCAATGATACTGGGTTTGGGAATAAAACTTAATTTGTGGTTGCTTAATGGTATCCTTTGATGTCAATAATAATGCACAATCTAATCCCTGGTTACCACTCACCCCATCGCCAATCTCCTGGCTGGCCTCCTTCACGCTGCTGCATGTGCCACTCCTCAGCCCAGAACCCTCTGTATGGAGCCCTGCCCATGCTGGGCCTTCTCCGCAAACATCCTCGGGCAGGCCATCTCTGCCCACTTCACGTAAGAGGAAGCGGCACCCCATTGATTGTCCCCATGTCACCACCTTTCCCAATCTATATTACATACATGTTTCTTCATTGACTTATGTGTGGCTTATTTTTTTCCACCATAGACTGTTGTGGAGAGACCATGTCTACTTCATTCACATTCTATGTACTTCATGCCTACCATAAGGCCCGGCATAGAGTAGGAAATCGATAGCGATTGGTTGAATAAATAATTGAATAAATGATAATCTGAATTGTCCCAAAGATAAAATTTAGAATGTCTAGAGGAATGGATGTGTGCTTTTTAGGCAATCATTATAAATATTGTTGTTCTTGCTGTTGATGTAACAGCTTGGATTGAATAAGGATTGGCAATTCTAGGTTTTATTCTCTGGAAAGAGGCTTAAATATGCATATTTCACTTTGTTGGTTAGTGGCAAAAACATATGCTTTGACCATCAAACAAGGGGAAGTTTAAGGTCCCTTATGAAAATGAGGGAGCCTGGAGGGATGAATAACTCCTTGATCCACAGAGAGGGGCCAAAGGGCATCAAACATTTTTGGTAATATTTGCCTTGGTTTTGCATCAGTTACAAATGTCATAAGCATTCTTGCTTTGCCTTTAATTAAACAGTTGAACAGCACTGGGCCTGCTACCGCAATGTTCAGCTGACCTTTCTGAGCAACTTCAGTCCATTGGTCTGTTTTTTATGGGAATAGCTATCCAACCAGATGCAGTTCTCCAAGCTGACTTGTTTTCTAGCCTATATTTTTCCATGGTGATATTGTGCAGAATATCCTGAGACCATCACACACTGAGTGTGTCTATCACCTTCCTGTGACTGGCTCGTCCTGCTACATTACCCAAATGGGAAACTGTATTGATTTAGCTTCGTTCATTCTTCATGGACCCAAACTGCATCTTTATTATCAACCACCTCTGTTTCTTCATGCTCATACAAATTTCTTTAATAATTCTTTCAATAATTTTGCTGGAGATTTTGATTAATTTACTATCTGGTATTATCTAGAACCTACTTATCTTTGTACTAATTGGAAATAAAAGCAATTGCTCATTTCTT